AGTGATTGGAAGTAAAATTCTTAAAAATAATAGCCATGTGTATGTATTAGTAATAACATGAAGCAGACATATGGGAGAGGAAAAATTGCTGGCATTGCATCTTTGTTTATAGGAAACCTTCCTTGAGATAGGAAAAGAAAACAAAGATGAATTTCCTGGGTTTGAAGCCAAGAAGAAAAGAACGGTGTTCTTAAAGATTGGGAATTGAGAAGTAGCCCCAGTGTTAATTATAGAAAATACAAGGGCATTTTGGACTGATGTTTATCTTAATGTAAGAGACTTGGAATTTGAATAGCGAACTCTCATCTAGAGTTCTAGAGAACTCTAACTACGTGTGGATGTCAAGCTTAAGGCATCTAAAACACCACACCTCTCCTTTCCTAGCTTTTTTCATCTCAGTAAATGGCAACTTCTCATTCTTCTGGTTGTTCGGGACAAAAACTTAGGAGATATCCTTGATTCTTCCTTTTTACATACATTCCTACAACTAATTCATTAGCAAATTCTGTCAGTCTTTTTTTCAGAACTGCTTTTTAGGACTTCAACTTGATGATCCATCCAAGCTACCATCATTTCTCTGTTGTGCTATTACAAAAGATTCCTAATTGGCCTCTTAAAACTTAGATCAGATCATCTGTTTAGGATCTTCCAGTGAAGTGCTTTAAGAATAAGTTCTTAAAGAATGGTAGATTTAGAAAGTCATGATTTTTTACCTTCTCATGAAATAATGGAACTAAGCAGTGATTAGTAGTGGATGCTGAAACCATTTGGTGAAAGGTTGATGGGAAGCTTTATAATAGATGAATTAGGCTGACGATACCTGAACCTACAAATCATTCTCGGAGTCAGTAAAAGTAAGGCAGACAAAAATGAAATTCCTCATAATTTGGTTCAGTAGCAGGTACCACATACAAAGGGTTCTTGCCTTAAAAAACTGCCCTCAATTTAAATCAAATTGTCAGTACATAGGAAATACAGAGAATAGAGGAGGCAAACAACACCAAGAGGAAAAAAGTCAGCCAAACCTAAGAAGTAAGAAATTCTACAGGACAAATGACACAATTTCTCCAAGAAATTGGGGCATGAAAAAAGGTGATGGCACAGCAAGGAGGGCTGTTACAGACTTTAAAAGAGACTTAGACGGGGCCTAACAAGCAAATGCAGTAGGTAGACCTTGTTGGAAATCTGATTTGACCAAATCATTTATAAAAAGATAGGGAGGTTGAAATATAGACTGGCTATTAGGTGATGTTAAGAAATGATTTTTAATTTTGTTAGGTGGTAATATGGTTAGGTTGACAAAAATGTTCCTAACAAATAGAGGTAGTAACTGAGGTAAGGGTAAGATAACATACATGTCTGGGATTTGCTTTAAAATACTCTACCAAAACAAAAGAAGGGAGTTGTAGTAATAAGACTAGGAAAATGGTAATTTTTTAAGTAGGGTGATGGGTACGAGGAGGTTTATGATGCTTTCCTCTCTACTTTATTATATATTTCAAAATTTTCATAATAAAAGCTAAAAAAAAAAAAAAGGTGAATGCCAAAGACCAACATATCTTTTGTGAATTCTCAGCTACTGAGAAGAAACTCCAAAACCCTCTCCATGGCCAAGAAAGGCCCAAAGACCCTGGCTGTTTCCCAGACCCTCTCTCTTTCTCCTCTACTCCAGCCATTCAGGTCGCCTGCTCATTTAGAGTATGCCAAGCACAGTTTTGCCTCAAAGCTTTTGTTTCTCTTCTGCTCAGAATTCTTTTCCTCCAGTTATCTAGCTAGCTGGCTTTGTCATAGCCTTAGGAGTCTTTGTTCCAGTTTTTCTTTAACAGAAAGACTTGCCCTGACCACCCTATGTAAAATAACCTCCCTCTCCTGGTCGCTATCCTTGCGTACTCTGAGGTATTTATTTTTTCATAGCGCTTCTCACCACCTGATCATTTATGTACTTACTGTTATTCATTCCCAAGAATGTTAGCTGCAAGGAGGCAGGTTCTTGGCCTGTTTTATTGACAGTCGTATTGCCAGCACTTTAGAGCTGTGCCAGGCACTCAGGTATTCAATAAATATTTATGAAATAAAAATGTAAACGCTTGAGGCCACATTTAATAAACAAGTACTCCCCACCCCCCACCCCTGTTGTTCTACTTACCTTTCACTTGTATTCTCATCTATACCTAGAGGTAGAGGAGGATTGCCAGGAGTCTCGCTCCTTATTCTAGAATAAAACTGCGAGGTAGAAAATACAAAATATCAGGGCAGTTTATTACAGGAAATACTGAGAAAGTTATATTCCAAATGTATTAGGATTTTAAGGATCCAATAATATGAAAAGATTTTAGTTTCAATTTCTTTCATTTACTGCTTAAGTAATGGAGAGCTCTGTGAAATCTAAAATGCTACTTTCTTTTTTTTTTTTTTTAAGATTTTATTTATCCATTTGACAGATCACAAGCAGACAGAGAGGCAGGTAGAGAGAGAGAGGAGGAAGCAGACTCCCTGCTGAGCAGAGAGCCCGATGTGGGGCTCGATCCCAGGATCCTGAGATCATGACCTGAGCTGAAGGCAGAGGCTTAACCCACTGAACCACCCAGGCGCCCCTAAAATGCTACTTTCAAACAGCTGGCTTTCCAATTACTTTTAAAATGTGTATCACAATATTTCTCGACTTCCTTTCAGATAAATCCCAGGACAAAGCTCTTCTAATAAAAAATGTTGCCTCTGAGTTTGCCAAATTGAGTATTTACTTTAATCTATTAATATAATCTTGGCATTTATGATACTAGTAGCCAATATATGCCCTTTGTGAATAATAAGGTCACAATCTAATCTATCTAAAAAAGGAAAGCTTAAATGTTTTTTTCATGTATTTTGCTTTTCTGTTTGCCTTCCATTTTCATTGTTTTGGTTTTAGTAGGTTTTTTCCTACTAATTTGCTCTTTTGCCATTCTATATTATATGGACTCATGTTTATTTATTAGTCGGGACTTTGGTTGTGAGATGGAAATCCAGATCAAACAATCTTGGGCAAAAGGTAGAATTTCTTATAAGAATACTAGGTTTCTCAACTACTGCCAGATCATGGGCAGATTGGGGATGTAACTGATTATTAGGGATGACTTCAGCACTGTCAGAACATTATTTTGATTGATTTCAGTCCTCTCTTTGCAGATTTTCAGAAGCTTAACTCCTAGCACCACCCTAGAGCTCTGAGGAAAATATTGTCTGTCTGCTCAGTTTCTGTATAACCCTGAATCAATAAAATGAAGTCGAGGGGTTGGCTATGGTCTCGTTTGGTCAGATAATCAGAAAGTCAGTCATGCAAGAGCATGATCATCCTCACTATAGTTAGATGTTAATAAAAGGGACAGAAAAGTGAGACGTTTACCACAGCCAACACCTTGGAATTCTAAGTTTAGTCATGTATCTGTGTATAATTGGAATAGAACATAGTGCTCTGCCATCTAATATAGTTTAGTGCAGTAGTTACTTCCCTTGGTTTGGACAATGTACCACTCGGCTTTAGGTTTTGCTTCAGCAGTAAAGTCACACTGATGGTTTATACTGAGATACTTAGTATTACTGAGTTTTATTTCATTATCCAGCTACATCACTCAATAAATCTGGAGGGGAAAATTGACTAATCAGAGACAACTTCTTCATTCAGGAAAAAGAGTGGTAGTTATAGGGAGAGAGCATACAGTATTTTAAGCATGAATCCAAATGCTAGAACACAGTGCTATTTGAAAGCTCAACTCATTTCTGTTTTTGTCTCAGAAATAGGGAAAATAGAATAATGGGACAACTAAATGCTTAGAGAATTAAGGTTATTTTTTTAATACTGGATATGTTTTATAAATTATTATATCTCATATTATATTATATTATATATAATATATATTATCTTATATTATATTATTATATATGTTTTATAAATTATTATATCTTATATATATTATATATATATTATTATATATTATTATATATTAAACAGTTTTATTAATGATCTCTTAATGGGCAATAAAACTGTTTTGCATTTGTTAGCAAATAAAGATTGTACTAAAAATGGGGCCTGTGATTTCATTGTTCTTTCTGTTCTTTATAATAATAAAAATTTAATCATGATAATATAACATTCTCTTTCACTAAACCTGTATGCCCCTCCATACAAACATATACACATAATACTCACAAAGCATTCTGAACTGTCCTAATCCAGGATTCTTCTGATCTCTTAAGGGGGTACTTTCTGTCCAAGGATCCTGACACATCAGGAACCCTCAGTGTGATTTTTGATCTCTGTGGGAGCATGGAAATCCTTTCCTCCATTAATATAAGCAGTATAACAGGAACCACATTTTAAGTTAAAGTCTTACAGTCTCCTGGCACTTCTAGTATTAAAGAAATTTGGGTGCTTCTGCCCTACAACCAACTTTCATACTATAATAGAGGACATATAGTTAATAGAATGCATACATGTCTTTGGAGCAGCTATAACAAAGTTTCTCATTTGATTACATGTAAATTTCACTAATAGGCATGGAAGAGAATGATTAAAATTTGTATGGGCCTGGAAAGAATAGAAAGCACCTAGCTTTATATAAACATGGAATCCCAGCATCTGGAGATAACCACTCTTAGCATATTGGCATATATATTTTCAGATTTTTATTGTTTTGCAAATGTTTAAGAAAATTGGAAACATACTCTTACACATTATTTAACACATTCATATTTTAACATATGCTTTCCTTGATACAGTAAAAATAATGAGATAAATTTTAAAACTTAATTATATTCTGTTCTGTGTAGTAAATACAACAAATTTATTATTACAGGTTTAGTAAATATTAAGATTAGTGGAAAAATATTGGTTGAATACTTCTAAACTCATAACTTAGTTTGAAACTCTCAAATGTTTTTATGGAAATGTTTTTATGCTACTATATTGGCTCAGTTTTGGGATTAATTGTAGTTTTGTAAAGTTTTTCTGTTTTTCTTCCCAGATCCAAGTATTTTAGAACATGCTCAAGAGGTGAGCACTTAACTATAGAGGTGAGTAGAGTCATGAATCTGATTGGATAAAAATATCTTCAGGAGGACAGGAGGGACATTTTTCTTTTCATTAAATTTAGTATGGACTTTTTATATTTCAGTGTTATTGATGCTAGCGAAGAAGGAAGGAATTGGGGTGATGAAAGGAGGGGTGAATAGAGAAAAGTATGTGGATTAAGGGTCTGACCTTCCAATAGAATTGCTGTTTCTACTTAAGAAGTGGTGTTTTTGTTTTTTTCTTTTTCACTCCACACAATTCAGAGAGGGGGTACTCTTCTTGCAGTTATAATGGCTCAATAGGCAGTGATTCTAAAGATAGACGGTTGGCCTGCCCTAGTAGAGAGGTGTAGCAGGATCAAAGCAGAAAGCTAATTTTAAGCAACTTTACGATTCGAGTCACTGAGTTGCTTATTCTCTGTATGTAAAATATGATAATAGAATCTAGTCAGCTCCTGCTATGTATTACCTACTTCACCATATAGGTTATAAATGTCATCAACATAATTCTTGATACAGTTGCGTTGAACAGGTGGCAGTCATCCCATTTTAGGGATGAGAATCAGAAGCTTAGTTAGGTGACGAAGAAGTTGGGCTTTGTTACACAGCCCCTTAAGTGGCAGAACCTAATTCTAGTCCCAATCTGCCTTCCTTCAAAGGTTGAACACTGTACTTTACTGCCTTCTATATTAAATAAAGAAGCATATAAATCAGAAACTAGTTTTTTTTAAATCTCAAATTAAAAAAGTTCAAGATGATTTGAAAAATTTTTGTCATCTCTTTAAATTCTTGTCTTTCTAAACCTTTTGAATTCATTGTTTTCTTGATCTTTAAGTAATAAAACAATGTTAACAATAAAACTATTTTCTTTCAGTGGTTATTTAGCAAATTATTTATATTTAAAATGTACATATATTTGTAACATAATTTAGTAGTAATGACTTTCATCCAATCATTTGACATACTCCTGTTTATCACATCATCATCTAATTGTTTACATTCCTTTATGCAGAAAGACACTGTATTTGGGAGTAATGACTACCATCTGGCAGATATTCAGTAAATAGTTAAATGAATGAGTAGATGAATAAATATAAACATTATAAGATAAATTCTTATTTGGGTATCTTTGAAGTCCCTGTTTCTTGAGTAAATTCTCCTTACGACATTTAATTTGTTCGGAGCTCAAATGGAAACTGGTAGTGTGGGTTTAAAAAACCCATATGAAATAATTCAGGTGAAAGTTTTAGTTTATAAATTTTAAAAAGTTTCTGATTGATGAAAATTGCTGTAATTCTCCTTTTTTTCCCCATAAAATCATAAATAATAGTATATGCTTATCTTGGCTATCTTACTGGATTATTGGATATATCAAATGAACTCATGTGTAATGGGACACATGACTCAAATATCCTAAAAATATAAAGGTATATTATTTTCAAAGTGAAAAAAAGTCAGTTTTTTCTGAGATACATACCTTAGACAAATATCCCTTCTAACACTTACTTTCTTGTTCTTTCAGTTTGAGAATCTAGTAGAAAGTGATGAAGTAAGTATTTCCACAATAATACAAAACCCATATTTGTTCTCATGGGTCATCTCATTAATTCTAACAATTATTTTTGAAATGTTTATTTTATTGTCTTTATTTTAGAATTTTTATCTTTTGGTTTTTATTTTGTCTTTTTAGTCCTTTACTATGTCCTTTTACTAATTTATATTAGTATATAATTCATAATTTTCTTATATATAATGTATATAATGCTGTATATATGATATATATATAGGTTTATGTATTAATTTCATGTACTCTATATATGTAAGTGTGTGTATATAGACATACTTAAAATATGATTTTAATATTTTATATAGAAAATATATATTATATAAATATATAAAATATATTTTAAAGCATGCTGTAGAACTCCAGCAACTTTAAAAAGAGCTATTTTTAACCTCTTGCTGTTAGGTAAGTAAAATTCCTCAACAATCCAGGGTAGATACATTCTTTAACCATAGTTTTCATAGATTTCTCAGGGTGGAATTTATACATGTCCATTCTACAATCACTTTCTGACTTTTTAGTCATTATCTTTTTTAACAGTTATTCTTTTTGTTGATTTCTTTGCATTTCATCTCATCTAAAACTGAAATATAAGATGCATTTCAAGTACAGATATATGAAAATAGGGAGAAGGTAAGGTTTAGAATTATGAAATGTAGTGTGTATTTCTGATGCCCTGGTTGTAGTTAAAAGAGTTTTAGTCTATGAGCTAAGTTTCAACTTAACTAAACTAATTGTATGAATTTGTACAAGTTACTTAGCCCCCATTGGGCCTACTCTATACAACTCTAAAATGAGTTCTACTGGAAGAACACTGCAAGCTCTGACCTTTTATCACTTTTGTTTCCTAAAGAAAGAGGAAAACGTATCAAACAAATTTAAATTATTCTTTAACCCAACATTTCCCACAGTGTGTATGGAAGAATACTTGTCTCAGAATGTAAATTAGCACATTAAAGCTTCTAAGAAGAACTATTAAAGAAACTGTTAAGAAAATTATTTAAACCTATTTAACTTAGCATTTCCCAAATTAATTTGGGTGTAAATCCTTTTTAAAAACAATAATACATGTTTATTATCATCTGGTAGAACACATTGGAAAACTTAGCCTTTTGTTTCCCAGTAAAATTTCTGCCAAATATTTTAATGTTTCCTAGAACCTAGTTTCTTTCCCATTTCAAAGATTACTTTAATTCCATGTGTTTTTTAGAACTAGTATAAGCAAACACTTAATATAGTATTTTTAAAGTTTCTAAACTTCAGAAATGCTAAATGTAAGAGCTCTTTCAGTCTTTATTACGGTTCATCCCAGCATCACACTGCTTTTTAAAAGAATATGGTTCCATGGGGCGCCTGGGTGGCTGGGTTAAAGTCTCTGGCCTGGGTTAAAGTCTGCCTTCGGCTCAGGTCATGATCCCAGGGTCCTGGCTCTCTGCTCAATGGGGAGCCTGCTTTCTCCTCTCTCTCTGCCTGCCTCTCTGCCTACTTGTGGTCTGTGTCTGTCAAATAAATAAAATCTTTAACAAAAAAAACAAACAGACAAAAGATTATGGTTCCATGTATTTTCCTAAGGTGTTTTTTGTTTGGTTGAGTTTTTTGTTTGCTTTCATTTTTACTAACCAGTCTTTTCCTCTTTCATGTCATATTTTGTGTTTGCTTTAATTGAACATCATCTTGTTTTATAGTGCTGTTCCTTATCATTTGGAGTTTTATTCCTGCTGTTACTTGGCCATATATTTTAACTATCACATATGAATAGCTTAAGTGTGTAAGAAAGATACATAAATCCGAATCAGTCTTGGAAGTAGTTATGGTTTACTTTGGAGGAAAAAAAAAAAAACTATAGGTAATTTCATAACCATGTAAAAAAAAAAAAAAAAGAAAAACAGTTGATTCTCATTATTTATGGTAATTATGTCTTATAAAGTTGCCATAAGTGCTGAGTTAGTGAATACCAACTGGAACATTACTCTCAGGGGGAATAGAGAGATTCCTGTAAGCTTTTAGTCATATTTTCATAAACCAATCAGTAAATAACCTTGTTTCATGTGTCTGTTTGACAACTTATTTTAATATATATTATTGATTCATTAACTTTGAACTCAAGGCCAGCAGCACTATAAGTCATACCTGAAGTCTGTCTAACACACACATTTTCTCCCTAAGGCTTGATTCAGCCTCCTTGGCACAAGGATCATTAGACAGCACTTCAACACCACACAGGGGGGTCATTTTAAATAGTGGAATGACCAACAAAAAAGCACAAACATACAAAAAACATGGTCCTCAATAGTCTGTAAAGAGGACAGTATGAGAACTGAAACGAGAAGGCAGAGCATCACCATGTTCTACCTCTACTGGGAATATGCATTTTGGGCAACTCAAAGTTTTTGCTGTTCTGTGGAAGTCTATTCATGATCACAAAAGCACAAAGATTATTAATTTTGATGTTACATAGGTGAATTTGCAAATATGGAATTTATAAATAATGAGGATAACTGTAAATGATAAAGTCATAGAAGATATCTTGTCTAATACTATCCTGACCCCAGTTCATTTGGTATAGAATATATATTAGCTAGAAAAAATTAAGAGGGGTGCTTCGGTGACTCAGTCTGTTAAGCAGCTGCCTTCGGCTCAGGTCATGATCCCAGGGTTCTGGGATCGAGCCCTCCATCAGGCTCCCTGCTCAGTGGAGAGCCCGCGTCTCCCTCTGCCTGCTGCTCTGCCTACTTGTGCACTCGCGCTCTCTCTCTCTCTCTCTCTCTCTGTCAAATAAATAAATACATCTTAAAAAAAAAAAACAATTATTGGACATTTCTTAATTTTTTTTTTCTTTAAAGATTTTATTTATTTGACAGAGAGAGAGAGAGATCACAAGTAGGCAGAGAGGCAGGTAGAGAGACAGGAGGAAGCAGGCTCCCTGCTGAGCAGAGAGTCCAATGCGGGGCTCAATCCTAGGACCCTGAGATCATGACCTGAGCCGAAGGCAGAGGCTTTAACCCACTGAGCCACCCAGGAGCCCCCCGATTAATTGTTATATAATTTAGCTATATATTAAATTTTGCTCTTGAGAAATAGTAAAATTTTAAAGCTTTTAAAGATAGTTTTAATAATAGAATTTATTTACTGTGATAAAAATAAAAAGGAAATATTTTGATTAAGTAAAAATTTTGTTGACTTGCCTTATGTAACATTCAGCAAGTGAAATTTCTTTGTTTAATTTTTACACAGGGGGAAAGCCCAGGAAGCAGTCATAGGTAAGGCTTTTCATTTTTTAAACAATGTCTGTGTGAAGCTAAGAATTGAGGCTCTGTCATTTGCTTGCTTTGAGGCATTGAATAGTTTACAATTCAGGACCTTAGTTTTCTCCTTCTATAAGTTTGAGGCAAATAATATCTCAAAGTATTATTTTGAACATAAAGGAATTTAATGTACATAAGTACCTAGTGCTCTCCTATTGAACCTAAGTCATGTATTTTTTAGTTTAAAAAAAAACTATTTAATATCAATAAATACATTTCCTTGAATTTTTAAAATATTAACCGTCTTTTCCTTCCTCATGACATTCTAAAACTTGTTTTACTAATAGGTTAACTAGAACCTTGATATTCTAATTTATTTAAGCAACCTTTTTAGATTCTTTTGAAATTATATGAGCTACTTGAAAAAGAACCATCTGTCTTTAACTGGAGAGTTCTTCATATCAAGAGAATATTTTCATACACTGTTTCATATTTTGAATGCATATTCTTTACCTTTTTTAGTTTAGCATACATTTATTAGGCAATTACGTGGCACTGCGCTAGGCACTGGAATTAAAAAGTCAAACATGCTTCTCTACATTAGAAGAAAGAATATCCTGGTCTGGGAGGTAGTTCGTGTAAATGACTAATTTCAACAGAAGATGGAAAAAGAGATTAAATAGCAGTTATAAAATATGCAAGGAAAACCTAAAGGAGAAAACATTTGCCCAAAATGTGTGAGAAGAGGTGTGTCTAGGTAGACTTTTTTAAGGAGATGACACTTAGGTTGATCCTGGAAGTGTTAGCTCATGAGAACTAACCAGTGGAGAAGAGCATTTCAGACAGAAGAAATTGCAAGAACAAAGTGGGTTGAATGAAAAGAGGCACAAGAGAACTTTGTGGAGGGATGGATATGTTTGTATCTTGCTTTGTGTGGCAGTTACACAAGGGTATGTAATTGCCAAAACTTAATGAACTGAACGCTTAAAATTTTATTTGTTATACCTAAAAAAAAAAAAAAAAAAAAAAAAAAAACCGTAGGCAGAAAGGGCTAGAGGAACAGATGTAGGGGACATTAGCTTATACTGGTGGTTAAAACCATAATTATCAAGTTAACGTAACCTGAGATTGAGAACAGGAGGAAGTGAGGTGCCTGGAGCATGGAGAGAGAGTAGCAGTAGCAGTCTGAGGATTGAATAAGCAAATACTATAAGAGGATTCTGAAGACAACCAAGACTAAGTAAGCAAAAAGAAGTATGAGAGTATAGAAAGCCACGGGAAGTCATAGAGATGACGGGCCAACAGAAGGAATGGAGAGAATGGCCATCACTGTTGCATTAAACTGAAGTAAGAAGATGAAGACTTAAAGTGTCTACTGGGGGGGCGCCTGGGTGGCTTAGTGGATTAGGCCTCTGCTTTTGGCTTAGGTTGTGACCTCACAGTCCTGGGATCAAGCCCCACATTGGGCTCTCTGCTAGCAGGGAGCCTGCTTCCCCCTCTCTCTCTGCCTACCTCTTTGCCTACTTCTGATCTCTGTCAAATAAATAAATAAATAAATAAATCTTTTTTAAAAAGTGTCTACTGTATTTGGCAACATAGAAGCCACCTTTGCTAGAGTTACTGGGGAGGAAAGCAAAGCTAGACTGCCATGAAGTAATGAGAGAATGGGAGGTAAGGACAGAGAAGGTAAGATAAGCATAGTAGTTAAGAGCAAGGAGCTAGACTACTTGAATTCAGATCCGAGATTGTCACATATTATGTGACTTACTTGGACATAATCTTTCTTCATCTCATTTCCCTCAGGTGTATTATCTCTATATCTACCTGATAGTGTTGGTGTGAGGATTAAAATTAGTTAATATGTGTAAAGTGCATGGAAGAGAACTTGACACAATAAATGCTAGATGCTCTAGCAATATACACTCAGTTTCATGAGTTTTAGCAGAAATGGGAAGGAGAGAGGGTGTAGCTAAAGATAAATACAGTCAAATGAAGGTTTTCCTCTCTTTTCTCCTTTTTTTCTTTCTTCCCAGTTCCCTTCAAAAGGAAGAGAGGTGAAGACAGAAAAAAAAAGAGTAGGTTAAGATGAAAGAGAGGGGCTAATTGTTAGAGCAATGTCCCAGAGAGTTCTGTGGAGTAGGGGAGGAAGGGTGGTATCAGTGGTGAATGAGTCAAGAGTATAAGTGTAGCAGATGACCTTGAACAAGTTAAGCAATGCCACCTCTTCAGAGGATGGAGGGGGAAATAGAGAAGATCGACTTTAGCTAAGAGGAGGAGGAAAAAGAAGTTGAAGGAGTTGCTGGTTGGTGCTCCCCATGTCTCAGAGTGGGATGGAATTGACTTCTAAGAGAAAAGAGTTTGAATGAGGAACATAGAGTACTTGAAGATTTTAAGTAGTTAGCTTAAGATGTGAGAAGGAGTTGACCATGTCTAAGAAAAGGGTTATTGCTAATGTTAGATTTTTTCTAGCAGCTCTTAGGAGAAAGGGCTGATCATGGAATTGATCCAAGGTCAGAAAGTAAGCTGGGTGAATGAGGTATCATGATGATAGGATTGCAAGAAGGTGAGATGTTGGTAAGAAAGTACTTCAGATTTGCCATGGTGTCCACATTGGTTGTATGTGAAGTGTGGCAAGGTAATAAGGATAAGTAGACAGGGAGAAAAGGGAAGGATCAAGGCCTTGGAGTACCCAGAGCGACTGAGCAGGATAAACAGGAGGGTAATGTGTATGTGAGTTAAGAGTTCCAGAATGGTAAGAGGGCTATCAGAGCATAGTGTACTGCAGTTTATACTTCATGATGAACATTTTGGGATATGGTCAGATGGCTGAAGCAGAGCCAAAGTGATAAATGTAGTCCGCATTTCTTAAAAGTGGTTATAGTACTGAAAAATACTCTGATGATATATCATCATGTTCAATGTATATACCAAATTATAGCAAATGTTAAAATGTATACCTTTTTACTCTTAACCATTAAAGTTATAGTATCATGTTGCTTTAATACTTTTTTGACAATACAATTTTAGTATTTTTCTGGTTGATCAGTGTTTTATTTGGACTTGTTCTCACCAAAAATGTTTTTTTCTTTTCTTTCTTTTTTCTCCCTCATTTTTTTCTGTAGGCCTCTTACTGAGGAAGAAATTGTCAACCTAAGAGAGAGGCATTATGATTCTATTGCTGAAAAACAGAAAGCTCTTGATATGAAAATTCAAAAAGAGGTAAATAGTATTTTTATGTTGCTTAAGTATATGTTATCATAAGACCTCTGTTGATGTTATGGAGAAAGTTTTCATTAATTAATATGGTCCTTATGAACAGTCACTGGATCTATATTTAGATATTATGCAGATGAAGATTATTTACAATTAAAAAATTTTAGTCTATTATAGTTTGTTTTATTTCAGTTTAATTGATCAGAAATCATATGCTGCCAAAAATGAAGATAATATGTTCTTTTAAAAACTAATTCCTTAATTCACAAATAGAGACTCTGACGAGATACATGTATTTTTATGTTTAAAAACAACTTTTAAAAAGTCTAACAGTAAATATTTTTTAAGTCTTTTTGTTTGTCAGGACTTGTTTATTCTTAGTAAGTGAACCATAAACTATAATCATAAATGTTATACTTACTTTAATGTGTTTATAGGAATGGTCTGTAATTATAGTTTTGCTCTTCACTAAATGGAATTAGTCATATTCTATTATAGATTTAAGAATAATCTTTTAAGTATTAACTAGTGATTTCAGCAGCATTCATTTATGCTATGCAATAGATGCTAATATTAGGTTAAGGAGAAAAATTGTTGAAATTTTTTTAAGTTTGATATGACCTGCAATGGATTACCACTAAAGCAGTTAGTATGCTATTATGAATGGCAAGAACTTAAATTTGAAAGTAACTTTTGATTAACTGGATAGAAATAAAATTCAGAACACATGTGCATCAATGAGACATGAACTTTGTGAAAGCTTACTTCACTTTGATAGATGGTGATATGATTGGCCTTAGTTTAAAGACCTTGGACTTACGAAAGCCAAAACCATTAAACTAGTCAGGGTGATAGGCATTGGAACAATTGTTGAGAATGAAGATCACTGCATATTCTAAAGGAAGAAATAGTTTTGTATTTCTGCAAATTAAATGCTACTACTTCATAATTCAACTTCTAAAGAGTTCGATAATATGTTTGATATCATTGGAATTATTTTATAAAAGGAGAAATTGAAATGAGAAATCACAAAAATTTTGATTCTATTATGCTTTGTAGAGATCATTTATTTTTTTAATAATTTATTTTTAATTTGACAAACATTTTATTTTTAGAGCAGTTAGACAGGTTCTGATTTTTGTTAATCCTTATTGTTTTGTTCATGTACAGTTAGCCTTACAAGAAGAGAAGTTAAGACTAGAAGAAGAAGCTTTATACGCTGCACAGCGTGAAGCAGCCAGGGCAGCAAAGCAGCGAAAGCTCTTGGAGGTGAGGGGAAAAGACCCCAACATATATTAGGGCTGCTTTTCTCCTGATTTTCTCTGACAAATCCTAGTTGAGATTCTTTCTCCATCCTAGAATCAAGGGCTTCTTGTTGAACAACGAATGTATTTATGTATATATTCTTAGGAATTTTAAAGACAAATTAGCTTGTATTTAAAAACTAGAAATAACATCAAAGTATGTGCTTGATATTGAATGTTGTTTCACTTTAAATTAGCAGAAGCTAATTCTTGTTTATCCCAAAGATGAAATGTAGTTTTCCAAAATCCAGTATTCTTTTGGAAAAATAAATATACTCTTAGGTGGAAACATTGTAAAACTACTCTTTAAACATAATTTCTGCAGCATTTTTTAGTTTATTTTTGTGAGTATTTTTTTAAACAATTGCTTGAACTACTGCAATTTCCTATACTTCTTTGAATCTGGTAAGCTGGGCAATTTGCCTGTTTTTCAAATATTGTATATTTCTTGTCTTTATTCTTGTGTCTTTGGGAGATTTGGGGTTTGAGTCTTGAGAAATCTTTGGCATATTATCAGAGAAAGCAACAGATTTATTATATCTCACCATGATACATGCTAATACGGCATTACTATAATGCCAGACCATTATTAATAACAGGCACTTACGGTATTACTGTTTTAGTTAGTTTACATGTTTTACTTTGTTTAATACTCGCAACAATCCTAGCAGGTAACATTTTCAATCCTCATTTTATAGATGGGGAAGCCAAAGGACAGAGATGTTAAATAACTTGCTTAATAAAATCCTAGTTAATAAATGGTAGAGCCAGCATTCAAGTACAATGGTGTTGAGCCAGTTATCCTACTTAGTATCTTCCTCTGTATCTTGCCTATGTGAACTCTCTACTGTAACATTAACTGAAGTAGTACAAAGATCATGTCACATTATAATTATTGTAGCTTAGAGAAACTGAAAAATCGTGTCATACTGCTATGAGTTTATATGTAACCTGTGCCCTTTTTCTCCCTTTCATTCTCCCCCTGCTCCCCTGTCATTTTGATTAATCTGTTTCAGCAGACTAATTAGATTATATGGGAGAGTGGGGGGGGTTGTTTTTTTAGTAAGTTCTAACTAGTGGAAAAGTTTAAAAATTAACTCACCTTCTACTAAGAAATAAAAATATTTTTCTGGCTATAATTTGTATAACTCTTTTTACTATAACTTCTCTACTGCTCACCTTTATTTTTTTTAAATTTTTATTTATTTATTTGACAGACAGAGATCACAAGTAGGCAGAGAGACAGGCAGAGAGAGAGGCAGAGAGAGAGGCAGAGAGAGAGGAAGGGAAGCAGGCTCCTGGCCAAGCAGAGAGCCCTATGCGGGGCTCGATCCCAGGACCCTGGGATCATGACCTGAGCCAAAGGCAGAGGCTTAACCCACTGAGCCACCCAGGCGCCCCTCTACTGCTCACCTTTTAAAGACAAAAGCATTCCATATGCAGAATCTATTTGGGTCCTCTGAGTTTTTCCCGAATTCTCTGAGTTTTTTCTTCCCTGACTAAATACTGATGCAGGAACATATAGCACTCTGTACAACATCCACTGGCACAGAAAAGATACACAGATATATGAAAATTCATCTGATTTTCACAATAGCTCTGTGAGTTTGCTTGGGCAGTATTATAGCCATCTATAATTTACAGATGAAAAAAAACAGAAAGTAAAGTGCATGCCACGGGCACATAGCTAATAACTGTCAGAGCCTTAACTATCTGACAGGTCTTCTAAATCCTTTGTTTTTATTATTTCTGAGTCAGCTTAGCCAGGTCTTGTAGATCTTTAGTTCTTTTGCTACTTATTTCAGCCAAAATAGAACTTCATCTACTGTTTTAACTGTTTTTTTTCTTACCATTCATCCTTCCAGTTATTAGAAGTTCTTAGGGGTAAGAAGAATGTTCAATACACCAATATATATATGTTTAAAAGTTAGTTTTTAATAACATTATGAATATTCTGACCCTTAACGATTATACACTGAAAGATCGGGAGAAATTGCAACCATAAATAAGAGGTTATAGAAATGAACAATGATACATTTAAGGAAAAAGCTTAAGTAGAATAACTTTTAAAGTTTTTTTTAGGAACTAGAAAAAATAATCTTTTGGTTTTGCATGAATGATTTTTTAAAGTATAATTTTGCAATAGAGAGTGATTTTGTATTGCATTATGTTTCCAAAGCAAGAAAGGCAGAGAGTTGTGCAGCGATACCATCCTTCAAACAATGGAGAATATCAGAGGTAAATAGTGAAACATACTACTTCCCTTTGTGGTAGAAAATGTAATATCCAAAGAGAGTACAGTTCAGCTCTGGGTGTTTGTATACATATTATGTTTGTGTGTTCCCTAAAAAACATAGACACCTATCTTGTAAGAATACTGAGAACATTTGCTTTCTTTACATTGGAAAGTGATCATTATTTAATTGAATTGATTTCATTGCATTTTTGAGAGTGGTCGTATCTTCCATGTAGAAAATGATGCAGTAATACACTGAATGCTTTTGGATAAATTGCTTATCTCTTGCCTTGCTTGTGTTTTCCTTAGCACATCTCTCTTACAATAAAGTTTATATGGGATCAGTTTTTAGAAGACACATCCCAGAGTCATATTTTCCACTCATTAAAAGAACCTTGTTCATGATTCATTATTATAAATTATGAAGATGGGCTTACTACTAAACATTGACTTCAGTGTTAACCAAAATCTTATCATTTTCAATTTATTGCTAGCATTAAGAAAATCAAGACCCATTTTCATTAGGTTACTCTAATTGCATAGTAATTATAAATTTGTGTGGGATAGACCTTCAGACTAAAATGCCATAAATTAACTTAAGCATGCATTATGTTGAATCTATTACGAATATATTTCTTTTACTTTCCTTACAGTTCAGGACCAGAAGATGACTTTGAATCTTGTTTGAGAAATATAAAGTCACAGTATGAAGTTTTTCGAAGTAGTAGTAAGTCTTTTAAAATATATGCATACTTTTTTACTTCATGCCACTGTAAACAGATAATTGGAGATCTTGGCTCTGTTTCGATAGAACTTTCTGCCCTCTAAATTTGTATTTTCCAGATAGGTCAGTTAACTGGTCCTTAATTATACAATTTTATTATACAATTTAATTATACAATTATACAATTTTCCTTTTTATTTTTTATTTTATTTATTTTTTTTAAGTAGGCTCCACGCCCAGCATGGAGCACAACAGGGGGCCTAAATTTGTGACCCCAAGATCAAGACCTGAGCTGAGATCAAGAATTGGATGCTCAACCGACCAAGCCACCCAATCACCCCCTATCTTTCCTTTTTAAAAAGGAGTTGGAGCAAAGAAAAATCTCAGGCTATTACTGTAGATCTTGATGGAGAGTCAAACACTCATTTTTCCATTTCTACTGTGGTACCCCCCAGAGGGTTTACCTCTCTGCCTCCCAGAAAAAGGGAAGGTGGGAAGAAGTAGTACAAAAGTGTACTTATTTTACTTACTACAAATTGAGTTATAAGATCAAAGTGTTTTTCTCTAAGTTTCAAAAGTCAGAATTCCTGTACTTCCAATAATGGAAGCATAGTAGTGCTACTACTACTATCCAGTAGTGTTTCCATTTTGAAAACAGATTTCTTTCATTTTTATTTTTTTCATTTATTTTTTGTTCTCTTTGTAATTGACTGTTACCTAGAGTTCATTGTATTGGAAAAGTTTATAATTCATTTAAATTTGCATGTTTATCGTGCTGTATGGCAAAAAAAAGAAAAAAAGGGAAAAAAGCGCTATGTTGTTCCTAACAAAAACTTACCAGTGTGATGATTTCAATAATTGTTTCTTAAGCTATTAAAAGGAATAATAATAATATATGTTGTTATATATTAATATATACTTGGTATATATTATATATAATATAAATTATATCATTATAATATTATAGATAATATTACAGAATAAATGGTTGTGATAAAAGAGTGCAAATGACCACGTTTGTGGTATAGTATAATGACCACATTATATTTGGTGTATATCCTAGGACTCTCATCAGATGCCACAGTTCTGACACCAAATACAGAAAGCAGTTGTGATTTAATGACCAAAACTAAATCAAGTGGAAATGATGACAGCACATCCCTCGATCTAGAGTGGGAAGATGAAGAAGGTATTTTATATTCACAGTTTTACCTTAAATTTTAATCCATGATAGCCTATACAAATCTACTTGGTATTTTACTTTATGTTGAAGGGAGTGCAAGGCCTTAAAAAATCGATATAAAAATTTCTTGGTCTCTTACCTTATTAGTGATTATATTTGTTGATAAATGGTTTAGAAAATAGTATAATTCTTAGTGTTTCTTGAGCTTTTAAAAATAAATGTTAATTTTTCACTTTAATATTTCTGTTATCCACCCATTTTGTTACTCAGTAAGAAGAATTACTGCCCCCTTGTGGTCAACCTAAAGCCAAAATTTTATTATCTTTTGGTTCATTTTATATATATATATATATTTTTTTTTATAACTTTAGCCATTTGTTAGCAGTTTTTGTGTAGTACAACAGCTTTAACATGAACATAGGTTTTAATTTTAGCTGATATGTTTTCCTAGCTGTAGTATTTTAGGTAGATTTCTTACTCTCTTTAAGCTGCAGTTTGTTCATCATAAAAAGGGAATAATAAGCTTACTTTAAAGGATGATTATTCACCGTTATATACCCAGGGTCTAAAAATGCCTGGCACATAATAAGCAGTTAGTAAATATTGAACAAATAAACATATGAATGTTGTGAGGATGAAATGAAACTTATATAAAACACCAGTACAGATGTGACAGATAGCAAGGCCTCTAATGTGGATTTTTTTTTAAGATTTTATTTATTTATTTGACACAGAGAGAGAGATAGAGAGATCACAAGTAGGCCGAGAGGCAGGCAGAAAGAGAGGGAGAAGCAGGCTCCCTGCTGAGCAGAGAGGCCGATGGGGGGCTTGATCCCAGGACCCTGAGATCATGACCTGAGCCGAAGGCAGAGGCTTAACCCACTGAGCCACCCAGGCGCCCCTCAAATGTGGATTTTTTTTTTAAGGCCATTTCACTGAATAAGGCTCAAGTTTTCATTTTCACTTTAAGAACTATGTAATCCACGAAAATGAAGAACCAATTACAGAATATAGGACTTTAAGAAGACTAATAAGCATGAAATATTTCATAGAATTTTGGGATGGAATACCTTAGTCCTCTAATTGAGCCATTTTTTTTTATCATAGAGAAACAGATATAGGAAGCTTGAATAACTTTACCAAAGATTGCATTAACTTAATTTAAGTCTTCTTCTCAGCCAAACAGTGTTACCACAATCCTGTACTTACGTTATTTCCTATCTGGATCCCAATCAGCAGACTTTAATAAAATATATTTTTATTGTAGCATCTTGTTCAGTTTGATCTAAAGTCTTTCAGATCTTTTAATTCCTGATTCTGTCATCCAGACTATCCGTATGCTAATTAGATTTGTAGATAACATGACTTTCAAGGTTATTCAAGTTATTAACACAGTTATTAAACTAGACTATGTAGAAGACAGAACCCATCAGAAACCTTCCCATAACATAAGGCCTCCGTAGGACTGACTCTTTAAGTAAATTTACAAGTCAAGTCTGATTATTAAACAAAAAGTACATTATTAAACCGTAATGTCTTTTAATATAGCCTTTAAAATTTTCACTGAGATTTCTAATAACTCCTTCCAAATAACAGGAATGAATCGCATGCTTCCAATGAGAGAACGTTCCAGAACAGAGGAAGACATTCTCCGAGCAGCACTTAAGTATAGCAGCAAGAAGACTGGAAGTAATCCTACATCAGCCTCTGATGATTCCAATGGCCTGGAGTGGGAGAATGACTTTGTTAGTGCTGAAATGGATGATAATGGCAATTCCGAGTATTCTGGATTTGTAAATCCTGTATTAGAACTGTCTGATTCTGGCATAAAGCAGTCTGATGCAGATCAACAGAAACGATAGGGTAAAATTGTATGACCCTGTTTATCAGTTGTGACCAAATGTTAAAAAACAACTAGAATGTATCAGTGGTTGTGCTGAGCCTTTTTGTAAGAGGGAGATAAGAAAACATCTTGTAAATGCTTATTAGAAAGGAATAGGAATGATAGGCTATATCTGAGCTGCTTCAGAATTAAGTGCAATTTCATCATCTGCCTTCTGCTTTTCAAAAACAATGTAATGGTTCTGTCATGTTATCAGTTAAATTTATTTTAACTCTTCTTTATAGCATTCGTGTTTACTATTTGTAGATTTTCACTTTTTAAAATAGTTTTATTAGCTTTACTTTGAATGCTTTCTTAAGCCTATTTCAGTAGTTAACTGTGAAAATACTAAGGCATTTTATTGTCTGATGTATTAATTCTCAGCAGATGTGAAGGGAGCATGAGGAGGGACTGCCAGATCAGATTCATAAGTGTTCCCTTTTCCAACATTATTTATTCCTGTGACTTATTTAACTTTTATTATCTAATAATAAGCACAATTGAGTTGATGACCCTAAAGAAATGCTGAAATATCAGTTTTTTTCTATACTTAACTGCGTTTCCTAGTATAATAATGTTGATTCAGTCTGAACAAAGGATATGAGATGTTCAAATAGGCTTTCAGAGTTCAGACACTTGAAGCTAGTATTCAAAAGTAATATTTAAGAAAATACATATATTTAGGTCTTCACTTCCTTTTACATGCTGCCACTATAAATGAATATTGACTTTAAGTTAATTGATATATTAAATTTCTAGGTGTCATTTTTTTAAATTCTATATTTCCAATGAATGGTCTTAGAAAGATTTTACACAGAACATATTCTCTGTGCATGATTTATAAGAAAGGAAAACCTAAAAAGGCAATACGGGTATTTCAAAATAAAATCCTTTCTGGTGTGAAAGGATTCATTGATTTTATTAAGCTTTCCTTTGCCTTGTAATACAAGGTACTTTAATGGGATGGAACTAAGCATATTAGTATAAATAACTGCATTTGTGATATACAGTGAACTCTTCTTTTCCCTAAAGCTTGTGTCTCACTTTGAAAGGCCAAGGCTATAAAGCACTCCCTAATTGCTTGTCTTAATTTTGCTGAGGATTGAATATGATTTTAGTAAGCAAACTTGTTTCTGATTTTTCCTTGGTGTTTTTTTTTTTTCTTTTTTTCTTGCAGCGATGACAGTGCATGTTCTCAAAAATATAGGAAGGTCCAGATATAAATAGTAACTTAAAGTTCTTGCTGTACTTAAAAAAAAATCATGGGGCCCTTTCAATATTTGAACTGCTAGGCAATGATATCTATAGTTTCATCTTCTTTTTATCTCATAGAAATAAATATGATGCTTTAAATATGTAAATATATTAGGTAATGCTATTATTTATGACTCTCAACATAATTTAAGTTGTAGCTTTGTCACTGGAAATATTTTAAAGGTAATCTATATTCACATTGCCTGTGTTATGCTTTTTAAAGTTTGTATACATCAGATGTATATTTTTGGTTTGGCATAAGCTACTATTGTAATTTTTCTTGGCATTTTGTTCATAAAAAATTTTTTGAAGGAATGGTAACTTCTCAAGGATTGTGAATAAACACATTTTTACATTTAAAAATAATAAATTATTTGACCATTACTAGTTTTAGTCTAAAAACATAACCATAATTATGTCTCCTTAGGTATAATTTCTTTATTAAATCTGCTGTGAAGACAAAAAGGAGTGAGTTAGGAAAGCAGGATGGAACTAAATTTGAAAATGTTTGTGTTTTAACTGCTAAGAAAACATTAATTTTCTTGTTTTATGTATTTATAAAAAAAAACTGGAAATAACATTTTTTTATTCAGCAGATATTTGAGAATCTACTGAGTCTGATAGCTTGTTAGGGACAGAGTAGTAAAAAGACTTACAGTGCCCAAGCTCTTGCCTACATTCTGATGAGAGAGACAAGACAGTAACAAGGAAACATGTAAATAAGAAAACAACAGATCACAGTTAGAAAATATATGAGATGATAGGATGCAGGATGGCTAGGGACAAGAAAGTCTTCTGTGAGCTGATATTTGAGCTGAGACCTAACTGTTGAGCAGAACCAGCCAAGTAAAAAGCCTGTCTATAAAAAGCATGTTTATAAAATTCCTGAGGTGTAGGAGAACGTTTGGTATGTTCTGAGAATGAAAAGATCACGGGGACTGAAGCATCATGAGGTAGAATAATATATGATATTGGAGGGGTACTTAAGGGCCAGATCATATAAGGTTTTATAGACTATGGTTAACAGTTAATTTTATTTGATGTATAAAGCCACTGACTTTCTGTAAGCCAGAGTGGACCGTGATCCAATTTGCATTTTTAAAAAATTCCTCTAGCTGCTGTGTAAAGAATGGGTTATAAGAGGACAAGAGTATATGTGTGATACTTGCCATGAGACATGATGTGACTTGGGTTGATAATCGTGATAGGAATGCAGAGCTGATAAACTTCAGAGGTAGAGTTAACAAGATTTTCTGATGGGCTAGATGGAGGGCAAAAGTAGAGCTGGAATCCAAAAGAATCCAAGAGAACTGTAGGATAATGCATCTAGCATGGTGCTCTGGCGACCTTGCTCACAGCACATCTGTATAGCAACACTCAACCACATTCCTACTGAAATCTTAACAAAGCCCTGTGATCCTCCCCAGAACATGGCAAGATAGGCAGTCTTCCAGGAGATGGGACAAAGCCATTTATCAACTGCTCCCCTATCTTGCAGAAGGCTGCCATGAGGCAACTTCTCATCTCACTCCCTGGTTCTAGTGAAGCAGAGATTTCCACCTCACTCCCTTTCACTACAGATGTAGGCTAATAGGCTGGAGTTTAGAGTTGGCTCTTCAACAACAGAGCTGCCCTCCATTTAGGTGTCATTTGGCCTCCCTGGTCCAATGTCCAAGGGATAGCCCTAGGGATGTGGAACACTGACTTCATGCTGACCTTGCTTTTGCTATCTGTGGAAGTAATTAAGTCTATTTGAGCTTATTGTCTCCCTGCCGGTTAAATCTGGAAATATGACAGCCAACCTAGCAGCTACAACTACACTTCACAATAACTTTGGTTTCCAACTTGACAAATGTAGTGGGAGGAACAGATTTAGGAAGGTGAAGGAAATTAAGAGTTCTGTTTTGGAAGTTAAATTTGAGGTGTTTATGAGGAATTTATATCAAGACATCAAGAAGGTGATGGGATGCATATGTCTGTAGTTCAGAGAACAGGTCGAGGTACACGTTTAGAAGTCATTAATAAGTAAATGGTATTTTAAGTCATTATACTAGGTAGGATCACCCTGGTGCAGCATATTGGCAGAGCAGCCCAACTAAGTGTTGATATTTAGAGGTCGGGGGTAGAGAAACTGGCAAAAGCAGCAGATTTAAGATAGATGCAGAAAACCAAACAATGTGTATCACAGGAACTACCGGTGGCCGTGTGCCACCACGTGGAGTGATGTATGGAGATTTGGAGCCAATACGCATTGAGGGGCAGAGCTAGAGCCATCTTAATCCCCAGTCACAGCCTCTGCCTGAGGCCTATGGCACTCCTTCCTTAGAGTAAGCAGTCTAAGAACAGTTCTTTCCCTTCTCCAGAATGAGTTTCAAAGAACATGGTTACAGAATTAAACTTTGACTTTATTATATGCATGAATGTTGTTAAAATTTCAAATTCATGGAATTTAAAAATGCATGGTACATAAAAGTCAATGTTTGGTAAGAAAACTGAAAAAGAATCCTAAACATAGCAATGGTTCATTAAAATGTCCAAAATACTGGTTTTAGATACTGAATATATACAAGGAAAACTCTATTTTGGGGAATAAACACTATTATTCTACAGAAAGGAAATCACAGAAAAGGTATTATTGCTCAGATAGGGCTTCCTATACTAAAACCACAATGATGCACTGACAGTTCTCCAAAACACATTATGCTAGTACCCTAGTACTGCAGGTACCAACAGGCTACACCACAAGTAACAACACGCCCACAGCCTTGACCTTGAAAAATGGCTACGTGTGAAATATGACCAAACCAAGAGACTGTTCCTTACAAAACAAAACATAGGACTAAAAGCAAGCATAAAAAGAAAATAATCCTACTGAGAACACTATCCCTTCATCAGCACGGATACTTCTTGTACATTAACCCTCACAGATGTACACTTAAATATGCTTAATAATTCTTAATAATACACAGTAATTCCAAAATACATCTAGGAATGTAACAAATGACTAAACTGATGACTAATACAATTTAAAGACTTCAAAATGATAATAAAAGTTGCCAAATTTGACAACAGATGACTGTAAAATACTAATAAACTGTGAAGTATCCATAAAATGTCTACAGATTTCTTCATCCTTCATGATTCTCCTCTCAGCCCTCTGTGTTCACAATTCATTTTCATCCATTTCTGTAGGAGAAGTGTTTTGGGTGGAGCAGGATAGGTAACCACCATACTCCGGTATGGGCTTCTGGAGCGGCCAGTTGTTTTCTTGCAAGAGTGATCTTGGAGACAAAATAAATTGAATCTCAAAAAACTCTAATGACTCTCCATCTTCCTTCTCGATCAGGAACTGATACTCACCAAATCTGACCATGCACTTGTAAGGCAGGTCTATTTTATTTAGGTAGCACAGCTCCTTGTTGTCCACAAGCAGACTGGTCTTCTTACTCATGTTTTTAATTTCAAAAGAGAGAACTGAACTATCAAACTTTTTAAACAGCTGCAGAGAAAACTGAACTCGGGAAACCTGTTTGTCCTGAAAGGTATAATGACAGATGTTGGAATTTCGGCCAAATTTCACCACCTCGCTGGAAGGAAGTTTTTCTCGGTTACAAAACCTTATTGATTGGAATACACCACTTTGCTGCTGGCCAGGATGGTAAACAGTTATCTGGAGACAAGTCACTGTCTCTTCCGTATCAGCATCTTCGAAACTGGACATGATGCGTCTTGGAATATGACTTGCCTGCAAGAATCAAACCAGCATGTTAGTACACTCCCATTTTTTAGGCACTGAAATCTTTAATTCTAATATTTTGATGAAAATCTGATAGGGATTTATTTAGACTTTAAGAAAATAATACATAGACTATGGTGAGTGCTGTGAAGTGTGTAAACCTGGCGATTCACAGACCTGTACCCCTGGGGCTAATAATACATTATATGTTTATAAAAAAATTAAAAAATTAAAATAAACTATGCTAAAAAGAAAAGATAATACATAGAATACTCAATTAATTAGCACATATGTGAAATTTTATACCAAGTCCCATGAGATCTGGTGTATTACTTTTTCTTTTTTTATTTTTTAAGATTTATTTATTTAAGAGAGAGAGAGACAGAATGAGAGTGAGAGAGAGAGAGCATGAGAAGGGGAAGGGTCAGAGGGAGAAGCAGACTCCCTGCCGAGCAGGGATCCTGATGTGGGAATTGATCCCAGGACTCCAGGATCATGACCTGAGCCGAAGGCAGTTGCTTAACCAACTGAGCCACCCAGGTGCCCCTATTACTTTTTCTATCTCTTTTTTCACTTCTAGTTTGACAACAGACCATACACACAATCTAGACAATAACAAGAAACACTTATTAATAATAAAGTGATTTGATAGGGGCATAAAGAAACTTCAGTTCCATTCTCATTTAAATATAGTGACTTGGCCCATAGAAAATATGACAGCTATATTTTAAAAATCAGGAATAAATCCCTTTGGTTTGAATGCCCTCAGAGGCTATACACATAAAGAAAACCTACAGTTTATTAATTAAATTGGAATTAGATGTTATGAATTATAAAACCTGATTAAAGAAATTTAAAAATTATAAACAATTTCAACATTTGTTATTTACATACTCATATTTCTAGTAGGTAAAGGGTTAAATATAATAAATACTTAGCTAAGATAGGGAAGCAAGCTATGTGTCCACTGATAGATGAACAGGTAAAAAAGATGTACACACACTCACACACACACACACAGGCATATTATGCAGCCATAAAAGGAGATGAGATTGTGCCATTTGCAATAACTAGGATGAACCTAGAAGTTATTATCCTAAATTAAATTAAGTCAGACTGAGAAAGACAAATACCATATGATTATACTCATACATGGAATCTAAAAATAAATGAATAGACAAATAAAAAACACAATATGACCTGCAAATACAGAGAACAAACTGATAGTTGCCAGAGGGGAGGGAAGTTGTTAGGCAAAATGAGTGAAGGGGAGTGGGAGATACAGGCTTCCAGTTACAAGATGAGTAAATTACAGAAATAAAAGGCACAGCATAGGGAATACAGTCAATGTTACTGTAATAGTAGTGTATTGTGACAGATGGTAGCTACACTTGCAGTGAGCAAAAGTATAGAAAAGTTTAATCACTATGTTGTATACCTGAAACTAATATAACATTGTACATTAACTATACTAAAAAAAAGTACTTAAGTGCTTTATAAGTTTTATACTTGTAAAATTAGACATTACATAAGTTAGTTTTAAATACCATAGTCTGTACTCCTACTGGAATTTGTTTATTTTTATCAATTGTTCCCTAATGACTGAACAAACTGTCATTAGTCACATGCTAACTGCTATTAAGAGCTAAATCCCTCTAGAGCTCCTGGCCCTGTGGTGCCCTCCATCTACACTTGCCTACATGCACCTTTGATAATCAGTGGAGTAAAGCAGTATAACAGGACCGGAGAATTAATTACCAAACTCTTGGAGAGATTATTCTGACACAGATTTGCCATTTTAAAACTAATTTATTTTAAAAGAATTAAATGCACACAATTTAAAAACTGATATGGTAAAAAAAAAAAAATTTTTTTAAAGAGTATCTTCCCTCCACCCTAATCCTTCTAGAGTCAATCACTGTAAAAGTTGCTCTTATCCTTGCAGAAATTATCTTTATACAATAAACATAACTATGTGTGTGCTCATACACACATACACACATAGTTCTATGTAGAACATAGAACTTGTGTTCTCCACATAGAGAAAATTTTTTCTGACACAAACAGGAACAAAGTGTATTTAGTTCTAGACCTTGCATTCTTTTTTTTTTTTAAGATTTTATTTATTTATTTGACAGACAAGTAGGCAGAGAGGCAGACAGAGACAGAGAGAGGAGGAAGCAGGCTCCCCGCTGAGCAGAGAGCCCGACGCGGGGCTCGATCCCAGGACTCTGGGATCATGACCTGAGCTGAAGGCAGAGGCTTTAACCCACTGAGCCACCCAGGTGCCCCTAGACCTTGCATTCTTAAATTAATAATACAAATGGGTGATTTGTTTCCATATCCACACATATACATATACCTTATATTTGAATGGTTACGGAGAATTCCTTTAATCCAGCATGGTGATAAATTACATCAACAGAGTAATGCTGACTGTTCCCTGCATTCCTTAAAAACTGTTTAGGGTTTGGAAATCAATGATCTTAAGTGAAGTTGATTTGTGGTTTTGTTTGCCATCTATATTAGATGTTGGTATCAGAATTATTATGCTGCTTAAAAAAATAAAACCAAAATGCTTTCCTTTTCTTTCTACACTTGCTGCTATTTATTTCTAAAATACAATCTTTCCTCCTGTTTTGCAGCTATGGCGCTATTTTTTTTTTCTATTATTAAATTCTTTATTTAAATTCAGTTTAGTTAGGGGCGCCTGGGTGGCTCAGTGGGTTAAAGCCTCTGCCTTCGGCTCAGGTCATGATCTCAGGGTCCTGGGATCGAGCCCCACGTCTGGCTCTCTGCTCAGCGGGGAGCCTGCTTCCTCCTCTCTCTCTGCCTGCCTCTCTGCCTACCTGTGATCTCTGTCAAATAAAAAAAAAACAAAAAAAAACAAAACTAAATTCAGTTTAGTTAACATATACTGTATTATTAGTTTCAGGGAGAAAATTTAGTGATTCATCATTTGTATATAACACCCAGTGCTCATTTATGTCAAGTGCCCTCCTTAATGCCTATCACCCAATTATCTTCCCTCCACCCACCTCCCCTCCAGCAACCCTCAGGTGCTCAGAGTTCAGCGTCTCTTATGCTTTGCCTCCCTATTTTCATCTTATTTTCCTTCCCTTCCCCTATGTTCGTTTGTTTTGTTTCTTAAATTCCACATATGAGTGAGTGTTAAAAATCAAACTCTCAATGTATTCAATTTTCAACAAATGATAGAGCAAAGCAAAATTTCTTTAAAAAAAAAAAAGATTTGATTTATTTGACAGACAGAGATCACAAGTAGGCAGAAAGAGAGGGGGGAAGCAGGCTCCCTGCTGAGCAGAGAGCCCGATGCGGGGCTCGATCCCAGGACCCTGGGATCATGACCTGAGCCGAAGGCAGAGGCTTTAACCCACTGAGCCACTCAGGCGCCCCCAAAATTTCTTTTTTATGGATTCGGAAATATATTTTTAATTTTAAATTTACTTGTCATACATTGTTTTTGGACATTATTACATCATATCATACTACCCAAGCAAACAGGACATGCCCAGCTATCAGCAACAAAGTGAGAGGAACCCTCAAAATCATGGACCAAGGATAGTAAAAATTACTATGAAACCAATGCAGCAAGAATTAACACACAATGAGTAGAACTGTGATTTGAAGATGACTTTAATTTTGATAATAAAGTCTCATTATTCAAGAAGCTGACAGCATTAAAGAGAATAATTATAACAAATCCTCAGATGATACAATTAGTGGTTGACAAGAAAAAAATTAGCTGTTAACAAGTAAAGAACCTAAAAAGGAGGGGCAAGAATCTGTCAGTGATCTTGGCCTTGTCTAGGACACACCACTACCATTTTGGTTCGTTCTTGGGACATCAGACAATAACAGTTCCAAAGGGAGAACTGGATTAAAAACCACTGTGTATTCTGGGTACAATCTTTTGGTAACACCCAAATTTTGTTTTGTGTTCTTCCTATAACGAATTAGCTTAGAATTCATGCTTTTGAGCAAATCTACCAAGAAAAGTTTGCCCCATACAAGCTCTTATGCCTAGTTCTCAGGGTAGATATATTATTCACTGCAAGGGGAGAAAATTGGCATTCTGGTTTATCAAATCAATGGCTACTAGCTTCTTGGTGTGCATCAATTCCTAGGGTTTGACAAATTTGGGGATCACAATGTGACTCTCCAAAAATACTGAGGTAGACAGTACTACTGTCAAATATTTGCTGCCCCTCCCTACCAGGCCTTGCCCCTTCAGAGAGATGATACTTCCCACTGCAGTGACAATGAAACATGAATGGAAGTGACATAGAAGCTTCTTTGCAAGCAGAAGCTTTAAAAGCCACTGTGTAGTTCCACTAATACTCTTGGCCTCTGCCACCTCGGCCGTCCCAATATCCTGGCTGGGATCATGACCTGAACCAAAGGCAGATGCTTAACTGACTGAGTGACCCAGGTGCCATGGTAGATCTTAAAAAAAAAAAAACAAAAAACACTAATGTGTAAATGCTCAAAAGCAGCTTTTTGAAATGCCTGGCATAAGTTGTCAAAGATAGAAAAACAATGAGCTTATATAGACATAAAAGTGGTTACCTCTGGAGGAAACCTGGGGTCAGAGGCGGAAAGGAGACTTTTCATTGCACATTCTATACCTTTGAAATTGTATACCATGTGTACTTAATGTCTAATCAAACATTTAACAAATACTTTCTTTACAAAATTACAAACCATCTGATTCTTAGGGAATTAAATGGAAGTGGAGATTAGCTAAGTATTAAAGGGGCTAACTGTGATGATAACTGACATTAAAAAATTATAAAACAGGGGGCACCTGGGTGGCTCAGTGGGTTACAGCCGCTGCCTTCCGCTCAGGTCATGATCTCAGGGTCCTTGGATCGAATCCCGCATCAGGCTCTCTGCTCAGCAGGGAGCCTGCTTCCCTTTCTCTCTCTCTCTGCCTGCCTCTCTGCCTACTTGTGATCTCTTTCTGTCAAATAAATAAATAAATAAATCTTAAAAAAAAAATTATAAAACATGTTTTGCCTGGTTGGCTCAGTCAGTAGAGCAGGCAACCCCTGATCTCAGGGTCATGAGTTCTCACTCCACAATGGGTATAGAGCTTAAAGAAAAAGTTCCAAAACACTGTGGTGATACATAGTAACATCTATATTCACAAATGAACCACAATAAATACATAAATATATAGAAATGAAAATGAGCAAATGAGCCCCGCTATCAAGAACTTTATCACAGAAAGCATAATACATAAGGTGAGGGCCCCATTTTTGAGTGTCAGAAGAGTAAACCTCTCCTTTGCTGGACAGGAAGAAGTAAGTACATACTTACCTGGGAGTCTTTGAGCTGTCAAGAGAAGGGTTAGACTCTGAGGTTGCCTTCTGACTCCTCTCAAAGGAAATAAAAATAGATATGTATAGAGGTGTTATGAGCAAAAATATAGTCTCTAGGGGCCTGCTCACACTCCCACATCCCCACCCCTGCCTCTCTCTCTCTCTCTCTCTCTCTCACACACACACACACACACACACCCCAGCTATCCCTCCCAAAGTTGGGCAAAGCCAGTAAAGAGACATACTACCTGACCTTGCAAAAAGGCTGTTTGGACCTCAACTGTCATGAACAAAAAGAAATTTCGCTCAAAGGAGGAACCAGGTGTCCAAGCAGTTTAACAGAAAGTTTGGTGCCCCTGGGTGGTCATGCATGCCAAGAGGATTCTCATGCTTTAAGTTTGTTTTTTAAGGTAAGCTGTAGTGAAATAATGGAGTTTTGTTCTGGGCCATGTGTTAATAAGCAAGGTATTCTAACAGTTTTATTTTCATCCCTCCTCAGCTCCCACCCTATGGATAATCTCAAGAGAAAGTATGTCATCAGTCGTTGCAAGTAGCCTTTTTAAAAGGCCCTCTCCCTGACCAACACCCAACACTGAGCTAACAAGAGGGAAGAGAAACCCGAAGCACAGTCAAAGGCAGGGTTATCCCGGCGACTAACCTCCCTCGCCGGTCCTCACCCCCAGTGTGTCTTCGAAGACATCTGTGAACTCTACTACTGTTCTGCAGAATCAATTCTTAAAGAATAGGTTTCTCAAAAGGAGTGGTGAAAACCAAAAAAAGCAAGAGGAAAACCTTAAGAGAGCTCACTTTTGCTTCTGAGACAGGGTCCTCCTTCTCCCACTCGACCTGATTAACCTGTTACCCTAATCAGATCTGCAGAGTCCAGCTTCTTGGCGGCTGTGGACATCCGCTACGGGGTACAGCGTGGGTTCTGGCTTCCGGAGGCTTTGCGAAATTCCTCCTTTCAAGCTGAAAACTGGGGAAAGTCCCAGAAAACAGGAGATTACTGTATTTTCCTAATGAACCACTGAGGCAAGAAGGGCAGGTCCAGAAGAACCCTCGGCAGAGAACCGGAGTTCTCGGGAATCCGAAGCCCCGCGGAAAAGTCCCCTGGGGGACGCCGAGGGGTCCACGCACAATTGCTCTGTGAGCTCCGCTTGATAAATGGAATTCTTTGTTCTCTGATTAGGAAAACAAACAGAACTCTTGCAAAGCACACGGAAAATTATAAAGAAAACTCATCCCATTTCTGGTATTTCCTTTCAGTAGCCCCCCCCGCATTTATAAATACTCCTAAATTTTATAAAGCTGGAGCCGTGCTGCATCGAATTGTTCGAGCGCGCCGGGCGCTGAGCCCGCAGGAGCAGTGGGTGTGACTTTCCACCGAGCCCCGCGAAAGACTCCGGGACAAAGCGTCCCTCTCGGGGCGATGAACAGACAAGACACCCTCCCCACTTCACCCCCAGCCCGCAGCCCGCCAAGTACCTTGGGGCCCGGGAGTCGGTGAACTAACTCCCCAGAGCGGCTTCGCTTTCGGGGTTCCGCGCGACACTAATGGAGGCCACCCCGCGGAGGCCGGAGTCGGGAGACGGTCCCCGCCCACCGCCCCGAGCCCTCAGCCACTCTAGAAAGCGCCAGCGGGCCGCGCCGCAGCTCCTGGGGGAGGGACAGGGCAGGAGGGAGCCGAGGGGGCGGGGCCGAGCTGGGGAACCGAGGGGCGCAGACGCGCGCGAACCCGGGGAACGGGCGGCTGCCGGCCGCGGGTCCTCCGGCGCGCGCCACCCTCCTCCGGCTCCCGGCTCACTGCGCCCCCTAGCAGGCCCCGAAGCCTTCATAAAGCCGGGACGAAAGCCCCGCGCCCGCACCCTCCCTCCTCCGCCAGGTGCCTGTGGCTGCAGACGCCGGATCCACGCGAAGCCCAGACCCCCGACCACCTTGCTACGCTTCCAGGCCAGGTCTGAGGCTCAGTAAACTGGTGGGGACCTCACCGCCCCAAACAAGAGGCCCTCCGAAGAGGATGTGACTAGTGAGCTCGATTTTTGAAAACGGAACAGAACCACTTCAAAGTTGAGGACCCCTCACCTCTCCCGCCCTTCCGCCTCCCCACTTCCAGTGTAGGCCTGGGACTAGCTAGGGGCAGGCGGGGAGTTGAACTTACTTCCTAAATTAGCCAGGTGCACGGTTTGTATTATCTCATTTAATCCTCACAGTAGGGAGGGTAGGTCCCCCTTACAGGTGACTGAACTGTGGCCTTGAGAGTGGCTAAGTGTCCTGTTGAGCAAGAGCAGAGACGGGATTTGAACGTGCCCCAGAGCTCCAAATGAGTCCGTGGCTACCCATGATGCCCTCACCTTGCCCCAGACCACTCCAGGGGCTTCCTCTCCCGCCCCAGCCACCCGACAGTACCCTCACTCAACATCCAGGCTCTGCGGTTCCACAGGTACAGGCTGGTACAAGGTACAAGGTACAAGGTATTGAATTGAGAAACACTTAACGTCCCAGGAGTCCTTTATAGCCTCCAGTGAAATAGGTAATAGTATTTTTCCTGTCTCAGGAAAAGGTTTGAAATTAACTAAAAGTGAAGAAAACCTCAAGACAGTACGTGTCAAGAGCAGGATAGGAATGAAACTCAGTAAGGAGTAGAACACCGACAAGACAGGAGGAAGGACGTGACTGACATGGAAAGGGCCCACTTAACGTCAGAGCGTGGGACTCTACCCGCCAATCCTGGTAGGTGTCAGATGGAAGCCGTTTATCTGTCTGGATTCTAGCCCTGCCTTGCAGAACAGTTGCTCTTTGCAGGTCAGTTTCCTTGACAATAAAATGACATTAATACTTGCTGCTTCCCCATCTGATAAAGAGATTCTGTGGGGTTAAATTTTGACCTCTCAGTTAGATGTGATCTGGAAAGGTAAGCCTGGGGAAGGAGGAGTACAATTACATAAGAGGCTGATTTCCTGTAAGGCTGCAATTTTGTTTGTTAATCATCAACATTTATTATCTCTTCTCTGGAGTGGGGATAGCCAGAGTATCTTCTGAAGAACATTAGAGCATGTAGAAGGTAAGATATGTAACTTGTCAATGCCAATAAACCTATACAATAAAATAATATTATCAGAACTGGAGTTTCTGATCTCCAGCCTTTAAAATTAAGTAAGACTTGGAAATGCTTTAAAAGCTATAAAGGACTGGTGTAGTAGATGTTATTAATAATATTAATAAAGAAAATGAAATGAAACAATTGCCAAAATTTAAGATGCTGAATATAATTTCATTTTTCTAGTAAGTAAGTATTCCTAGGCTACGGATTTAGGAAGAGATTAAAAGGAACCCTTCAGAGAAGTGGATACCCCAAAAGTCAGGCTAGGATTGTTTATCAAGGCAAAACAGAGGAAAACAGTAGGCAGGTATTTTGTTGATACAAAAAAAGAGGTATTTACTATTTGAGATATCAGTGATGAATCAGTTAGTGTAAAAATAACATAAAATATCCACAATCTAGTATATTTTTCCATGGAAAGATTCCATGGAAAGATATTTTTCCATGGAAAGATTCTTAAGAGTAGTTTTGGATATTTTCAGTAGCCCATAATTAAGCAGATATACCTGAAAGCCTATTGTATTTCACTTAAGATCAAAAACAGAGGAAGCTAATTTGCGATAATACAATCACACCTTATAGGAAAAAAAAAGAAAAACGTTGCTTGTTTGTGTTGCTTGCTAGTAATTGGGTTATATGAAACCCAACTTCTGTTCAATGCACTCTATGCCCATTGGATACACATTCATCCAAGTCTCCACTGCCCAGCTCAGATGCTCAGATTTGGGGTAACTCAGCTCAGGAGTGCCTCATTTCATGGCTGATGTTTTCTACCAACTGGTGAAAATACTCAAAATTACTTGAAATTTCTCATTTAACTCTTTTTCCATTATTCTCTAAATGGGAGACAAGTGGAAGCCCGAAGTGTTGGGATTGGGACAAAGGAAAGCTAATGTGGACTTCTCTTCCTCCTCCCTATTGCTGGAGTCACGTGACTACAATTAACCCGAACAACTTAGATCTATGTGGAAAGATTTGCCAGATGCACTACTAAAGAAAAAAGCCAAAGTGCTGAACAAAGATGCTGCCATTTGTAGAATAAACAACAAACAAACAAACAAACAAAAAATCTGTCTGTAAATGAATGAACTATCGGCAAAGAAATCCAAGAAACAGAATAATTAATCTGAGAAGAAGAATTTAGGGGAGAGAATGCAGAAGATCTATGTGGGGAGATATTTTTCATTATGTACTTTTTCATGCTGTTCAGAATTTTTCTTATTTGCATGCATTGTGGTTACACACTCAAAAAAAATCAGCTTTTAAAAGAAGAACCAAGTAAGAGGAATCTCCCAGGAGACAGGTTTCAATGCTCTAATGCCTCAGTATTTCTCATAAGATAGAAGACTACAATAGAATTCAGGTTCTCAAGAGAGTGGTCAGATGGTGAGATGAAAATTAAAGCCTGTAAAGGCAGGGCACCGGAAGGTGAAGGAGGAGGAGTCAGCCTGTTTGGGGCCATCTGTTCTGCTCCTCCCTGAAGGTAGTTGTGGGAAAGTTCTGTGGTAAGATAGCCCCCAACATACCCACCCACTGGTGTACGTAATTTATATAACCTCCTGCCCTTGAGTGTGGACAGAACCTGTGACTATGGTGGGATATCACTCCTACAACTAGGTTTCTAATCATTTGTCTTTGAGATAATCCAAAGGGAAATTATCTAGCTGGGCTGGACCTAATCACATAAATCCTTAAAAGGGACTGAGCTCTCCAGGAAGGCAGAGACATATGCCCATGTTAGCCAGGAACTGCCTATGGAGACCACGTGGCAAGGAACCATTGGTGGTATCTAAGAGGTAAGAGCGGTCCCTGGACAACAGCTAGCAAGAAAATAAGGACCTCAGTCCTACAACTAGAATTCTGCCAACAATCGGAACGAGCCTAGAAGGAGACCCAAGCCTTAGATTAGGATTGCAGCATTCTCAACTATAATGTGCCCAGACTTCTGACTGCTGGGAACAGAAATAACAGATGGGTGCTGAGGTTTTTTGCTTGTTTTCCTATATCATAGAACCTTTGTTATTTTTTCTTCTAAATTTTTAAATATTACCTAACATCCATCTTTTAGTTATGATACCAGTTACTGACATCTAAAATGTATCTTCGTGGAGCCCCTGGGTGGCTCAGTTGGTTGGGCGCCCATTCTTGATTTTGGCTTAGGTCTTGGTCTCAGGGTAGTGAGATCGATCAGTGAATCTCTTCATCCCTCTTCCTCCCCCTGCTTGTGTGCATGTGTATGTGCATGTCCTCTCTCTCTCTCTCTCTAAAAAAAATAAATAAATCTTTTTAAAAAATAAATAAAATAAAACATTTCTTCATTTACAAATATTTTATGTTTTGTCTATGGAACAGATTATTTAATGGGTGCTGCTTTATGCTGCTAAATTTGTGGTAATTTTTTAATGTAACAATAGAACAGTCTACTAATAGAGTTTTTTTGTTAGAGGATCTCAGTGGATTA